TCATCTAGTCCAACCCCCTGCTCAGGCAGGAAACCCTATACCATTTCGGACAAATGGCTGTCCAGTTTCTTCTTAAAAACTTCCAGTGTTGGTGCATTCACCGCTTCTGGAGGCAGGTTGTTCCACTGGTTAATTGTTCTAACTGTCAGGAAGTTTCTCCTTAGTTCTAGGTTGCTTCTCTCTTTGGTTAGTTTCCACCCGTTGCTTTTTTTCCCTTTTTTTTTCTCTTTGAATGGACTTTGTGCACATGCACATGCACAAAGTCAGAGTGAGTTTTAACAGATCGCTAAACCCACCAGCCTAGCCATCTGTTAGAACTCACTTCCCATCCTACATGAAGGAATGATAAATGTTTTCCTCATAGCTGGTGATGCTTGATGGATCAGGAAAGAAACAATGCTGGGGGAATCTCCTTGTCCCTTTCCTTAACATGCCGTGCACACAGCAAAATAAGGTCATAGCCATTTGGCAGAGTTATGCTGTGGTAGGATAGATGCAACAAATATTATGCTGGTTAAAGGACTGGTGGATAATGCTTTAAATTGGCTGTGGGAAACAGTCATAACACAGTTCCATTTCCTCATCTCCAGTACTTTGGTTGCAATTCCATATTTGACAGACAGATTGGCATCCCTCAGTTGCAGCTTCCCTGTACAATTTAAACATCTTCCCTTGCTTTAGGATTCTCTCTTTTAGGATTCTCTCTTTTAGGCTGGATCATGACTTAATTAGGACTTGCCTACTTTATGTGTTCCATTCTGACAGATATACTTTCTGGATAATTGCAAGAGGTCAGCCATTATCTACTGGCAGGTACCCGAAGGAAGATGCAGCAACATTTTTATATGTGATTTTTCATCCCATTTTATTGGCTGAGAGTAAAACTGTAAGATATTTGTTGCCTTTCCCCCCCAATTTTTCTTCCAAAATGAATTATTAACACATTTCCATTTCTACTTGGCAAAATGCTTGAAAGCCATGGAAAATTCCTCACTGTGGATCTCATTGTGAATAGATACCTTTGTTATCAGGGGAGTCTATTACAAGTGCAGATGCTTCTTTTATATACAGCAATACTGATGAAAAAGATATGCTCTACTTAATAATAATGAAAAGTTAATTAATCTGTTTTAGAGACTTGAGAAGAAAATGCAATCAAATTAAAAACTGCAAAGCTAAAATTGAACTCCTTGGTAGTTATGATCCAGAGAATCAGCTTATTATTGAGGATCCATATTATGTAAGTATTTTCTCATTTAATCTATTTAATTATCGTTATTTGTAAGAAAAAAATGTAATTTAGGACTCTGTGTTTTCTCTCTTTTTTCTTTCCACCTCCAGGGAAATGATGAAGATTTTGAAACTGTTTATCAGCAATGTCTCAGATGCTGTAAAGAATTTTTGGAGAAACCTCATTGATGTGGTTATGTTTCTGAACGTGAATAATTCTATGACATTAGAGCAAAATCTCAATTAACATTAAACTATGATAGTGTGCCTCTAAAATAGATACACTTGTGCATTCTTAATTTTAATCGTTGTTGTAGTACACCGAAGTATATTACTTGAGAAGATGTTTTTTCAAAATTAAATTGATCTTATCATATATATATATATATATGATAAATGACTATCGTGCTGGTCATCTATATAAGAAAAAACTGTTGGTTCTAAACTAATTGAAAAAATATGTGTGATTCCATATACTTCCGACCACAATTGAGCCTGGAATTTTGATGGTAAGTTGTGGTCATTAAGCGGGTCATCATCACATGACCTAACTCAGTTTTTCAACTGCATCA